GTATAGATGGGTGGAGACAAGTATAGATGGGTGGAGACAAGTATAGACGGGTGGAGACAAGTATAGACGGGTGGAGACAAGTATAGATGGGTGGAGACAAAGCCCTTTTTACTTAGTTTTTATGATTTTCTGCAGCTGACAGAGAAAAAGGAACGACACCTTCCTGCTGCGCGGCTGAACTTCAGAACTTTGGAGGACATCAGATCATTTAAGACCAGAACAAATCACTAAACGTTCGGTCTAAAACTCCAGATCCAGTCTGCGGTTTGAGGACTGTCCTCTCAGCGGTCAGTGAAAGTGCTGTCAGAACGAGGGCCGATGGCGGATCAGAACCGTGACAGCTCACTTGTGGAGTTCTGTTTCTGTTAAACCAACGCGCCGGGAGAACCTTTGTGCCTCACTGTCACTCAAAGCTCTCGCTGCTCAGGAAAACAAAGACGACGGCGCTCCGGCTTCATTCTTCTGTTCAGCCACAGTTTCCATGATGAGAAGTGATGCAGGGCGGGTAATGGAAGCGCGTTCTTCTCCACACACAGCGCAGCGCTCAGAGATGGAGGCAGATAATAGTTGGGTTGTTGATACGCCGCGCCGCCGAGATTTGTTCGACAAGCTCACGCTCTTTCTGTCGAGCTGTCATGAAAACCAGAATCCAAAGTTCAGATACAAAAACAAGAGGGCGTGTCAAAAAATGTCAGGAGAAAATATTCTGAGCAGAACACTAACCTGAAAAAACAAATCGGTCCATGAGCTTTTATGTTGAAGGGCTTATTTGTTGTATTTTATTGTGTAATCTCTACGAAGTGCCGTTTGTAAAGTTACACAGTCAAAAATTAACAGCAATATTTTGGTTTATTAGCATTACATAAGAAAAAAAAAGTTTTTGTTCAAAGTCATATTTTCACTATATTATTCATACTTTTATAAATGTCATAGTTCCAAACTAAATATTTAATTTACAAGCAATATTTAGTTTATAAACTAAATACTTAACTTGCAAGTTAAATATTTAGTTAGCAAGCTAAATATTTTGCATGCTAACTAAAATATTTAGCTTGAACATAAACATTTAGTTTGTAAACCAAATATTTAGTGCGGCGCTAAATATTTAGTTTACAAACTAAATGTTTATGTCCAAGCTAAATATTTAATTTACAAGCTGAATATTTAGTTCACAAACTAAATACTTAACTTGCAAGTTAAATATTTAGTTATCAATCTAAATATTTAGTTTACAAACTAAATACTTAATTTGCAAGTTAAATATTTAGTTATCAAGCCAAATATTTAGTTATCAAGCTAGATATTTAGCTTGATAACTAAGTATTTAGCTTGGACAAACATTTAGTTCGTAAACTAAATATTTAGCGCCACGCTAAATATTTAGTTTACGAACACACCTGTAAAGGTGTACGTACATCTAAAGGATGTTTCTCACGAAGCTTGAGGACAATAAGGTGTGGGGTTTTAAAGACATTTCAACTTTAATGCACACACAACGTTTTACACTTGTAGCATCTTATAGCGTGACACACTTAGCTTAGCGCTAAGCTAAGATGCTACAGATGTAGCGCTCCACTTCTCTCAACGCATCCTAACCATGAATACACCAGTATGAGTCTAAGCCCCCCGGTCAACAACTGCCAGCACTAAGCTCGCTAAGCTGGCGAGCGAGCAACACAGAGATGTCTCCACCTCCTCCACCTGTGAGCATTCTCTACCGAGGCAGGAGACACAGAGGAGAAACACTGCAGGCTGCTGGAGAGTTGTAGGTAACCAGGAAAACCTGGAGTGGACTTTTATTGGTTTGAGTATTCTCATATTAATGAAATTCAATGGATTTGTTCATGAAGGAATAGAAACAGCACCAAGTGAATTAATGTTTCATGATAAATGTGGGATTGGGGGGGGGGTGTCCAAATGAACATTGTTTAAATGTGGAGGGGCACGTCCCCTTCACATATAATGGCTGCAATGCCTACAGTCATTCTTTTCCTCTGGACATGGCAAACGAGTTAGCAGAGAACATCGGATGAGCTGTTCTAAGGGCTTTTATTTTGATAGTCCACTTACGCTTTTCGGCAAGGAATTTGCATATTAGTTAAATATTTAGGTTTGAGCTAAAAATTTAACTTGCAAGTTAAATATTTAGGTCTGAGCTACATATTTAGTTAGCAAATTAAATATTTATTGTGGAAATTAAATGTTTAGTTTGGAAAATAAATATTTAGGTCAGAGCTAAATATTTAGTTAGCAAATTTAATATTTTGTTTTGGAATTAAATGTTTAGCTTAGAAATCAAATGTTTAGATTGGAAATTAAATGTTTAATTGTGAAAATAAATATTTAGCTTGAAAGTTACATTTTTAATTTACACCTAAAATATTTAGTTCACTAACTAAATATTTAAATTAAACATTTATAAATTGAACATTTAGCTTGGATATAAATTTAGTTTGTAAACTAAATATTTAGCTTGTAAATTAAATATTTTGTTTGGAACTATGACATTTATAAATGTATGAATAAGATAATGAATATATGACTTTGGAAAAAAAAAACTATTTTTTTTTCTTATGAAAGTGTAAATAAACCAAAATATTGCTGTTAATTTTTTACTGTAACTTTACGGCACCCCATAAATCTCAAGTCTTCAGCATTTGTTCCTCTGAAGAGGCAGCCATGTTGCTGTAAAAACTCAGGTTGTGTGCAGGTGAGAGCTTTCCAGGACTCCCAGGATGAATGGATCTGTCCTTCCTGCTCTGTGGCGCCTCGTGGGATTACTAACAGTTTATTAAAGGTGTTACTAAAACAGCTAACGGTTCAGGGCTGCTAATGCAGTCAGTGTTACAGTCAAACTGAAAGCTGGAACAAACAGAAAGCAAAAAAGAGAGAGCAAATTCTCACCGCTCGATCGGTTTGTGGCACCGTGGCGCGTGGCATCAAGAGGCAGCTGCCACTGGAAAACATTCTGCCACTTTGTTTCTGACCCTGTTTATTCTTTACCCTGTTTAAGTTTATAAAACTCACCTAATTAGAATTCACACAGTCTGACTTTCTTCATGAGTGAAAAAAGAATGAAGCATGAGATTGACAAATGGATCGGTGCAGCTTCCGCAGTACTGTGGACTCTGTGCCGGTCCACTGCGGTGAAGAGGGAGCTGAGCTGCAAAAAGAAGCTCTCTGAGTGATCTATGTTACCCTCACCTGTGGTCGAGAAAGAACACGATCTCAGACTCCAGCGGTTGAAACAAGTTTCCTCTGCGGGGTAGCTGGACTCTCCCTTAGAGATCGGGTGAGAAGTTATCCAGGAGAGACTCTGAGTTGAGCCGCTGCTCCTCCACATCGTGAGGAGCCAGCTGAGGTGGTTCATGCATCTGGTGTAATGGGCCCTGGATGCCTCCCTAGGGTTTCTGGGCATGTCCAACTGAGAAGAGACCCAAGTCTCATGGCTGGCCTGGTGGAAAGAGATGTCTGGACCTCCCTGCTTAAGCTGCTGCCCCCAAGACCTGAGTCCAGTACAAGAGAAAGATGGTGTATGGAAGGATGGACAAATGGACACACTCCATCTCCATCTTCCACTGATTTACCGTGACCAGGTTGTGGAAGCAACAGGTCTTGGAGTAAAAATGAGACCTCCCTCTCTCCAGTGACACTCTCTTCCTGTGAGACCCCAAGGTTTTCCCAGACCAGAAAGGATATGTAATCCCTCCAGTAAGTTCTTGGTCTGTCGTCTCTTCCCAGCGAGACGTGCCTGTAAAACCAAAAGGAGGCATCTGTATAAACGAGAGGCCTGGACCGCCTCAACGGACTCCTTTCGATGCAAAGGAGCAGGCTTGTTTCAGGATTTTGATCATGACACCTTTTTTAATTTCACCTGCCAACCAGAGACTGGCGCCCCTTGACACCTGAGCAGGTACATCCAGTTCATAATCTGACAAAAGGCTCAACTTAAACTGACAGTGGAGCTTTTCGTTTGATTCTTTTAGCACCAGCAACTTTGAAAACGTGCATATAGAAGGAGAAATGCCCGGCTGTCAACAATATCAGCTGCACATCTGGCTGCTTCAAGTTTGAGTCTCCAACAGCTGCAGTTCAACGAGACACTAATGATGTGACCATAACGACTGAACTCAGTCACCAGAATATTACAACTTGTTTTACATGCTTACCCGCCAATTTAATCACAGGTTCTTTCAAATCAAAGGAATAAAAATGATAAATGTTTATGAATCAGTCATTCTGAGTTCTCCCTGTGGTTGGATCTTTCATTTTCCCCCACACATGCGCAGCACTCATCAGACGCTGCTTGTTGTAGAAGCGCGTGCACGGCGACATGCACACATTTCTGATTTCAACTAGTCCCCTTAATGCAGACCCTGCACGCAGACAGCAGCTCGTGCAGCCTCTCTGAGCTGCTCCATCCTCCTGTAGGTTGGTGGGTGACGGCACTGCGGAGGACCCGGCCTCTTCCTCCTCTTCCTCCTCCTCCTCACCAGCCAGGCGACATGGCGCTGGAAGAGGAGCGGAGATCCGCCTTCACCTGGATGAAGGCGGAAGACACGGACCAGGTGTGGCCGGAGGAGACCCGAGCGAACCCAGAACCCCTGGTTCCTGCAGCTCCTCCTGCAGCCTGCAGGTTCCTGTCCGCTGCAGTTCACACCCTCTCCCCTCCTCCTCTCCCTCACCTCCCCCTGCAAGCCTTCGAGCTGCAGCCCCAGAACCGAACCGAGCCACCCCGCAGTCAGCCCGGTTCCGTCCGGGATTTTACTGACCTGGTGCTGAGCCTGGAGAGGTGAGGTGGCGGACGCGGATCCGGTGAGTCTGGAGCCGAACCTCCGCTGCTGCCCGTCCTCTACCCGCCTCTTTCTCTCCTCCTCCTCCTCCTCCTCCTCCTCCTCCTCCTGCGGACCGGATTACCTCACAGCCTCCTCCCTCTGCTCCTCCAAGGCTGGAGAGAGAGTCGGAACCACGTGGGTTAAATAGCCTAACATGGGTCTCGGTCAGAACCAGGCGAGCTGAAAGTTAAAATTTGATCTAAAAACATAAAAATAATTGTAATCTGGTGAGGATGAGAAGAAATAAACAAAAAATAAATAAATACAACCCCAGCCCTGAAAACTGGTGTAAAACGTAAACAACAAAAAACAGAATGAGATGATTTACAAATTAAACTTGTAATTCGTTCACATGGGTCTTGGAGTCTGTGGTAACTGGACACAAGAATGCAGACTGGCGTTAAAATGTTAATTTAATAAAACTACAAAGTAAAAAGTCAGGAAATCTGCGAACCAAAACATCTTCTAAGGTTCATGAAGCTCAGCCAGAGATGGACTGAGAGAATGAGCCCATCAAGACTGGACGTGATTCAAACTGGTGGCTTGGACGGTCAAAATCAACATTTTGCAATGCATTGTGGTCTAGATATATTCACACCTACTTCCGGTTCTTTACAGTCTAATCAAATTTTATTTTGTCGTTTGTGTTTATCCGTTGCTATCATTGACTCTGGCCTCCTTGTCCAAAATAATTATTAGAGATTATTATTTTTGATGTGTTTGGTGTGGATCCACATTTAGAGTCCAAACAGCGTTCATGTCTTTCAGCTACTCTGCGATCATTCTGACACCTGGCAACATTACGCACAGCGTAAAATACCAATAAAACTCTTTTTAAAATTATTATAATTTAGCAGATGTAAAGCACCAAAACACCAGAGCTGCTGACTGTGAATACCCGAAGTGTAATGAAGCGGGTGAGTTTACACATGCTTGTTAAAAGGTGGATGTAACAGGGAACAGGTGAAGGTGGGCGTGGTCAAATAAAGGAGCAGAAACAGACTGTGGAAAAGTACTGGGAGAATGAAGCGGTGAATCAGAGGAACCGACGTAAAAGCAAAGAAGTCAAAGCTGATGAATCCGGTTCACGCTGTGGACTCGGATCAACCTGAATCGATCACTAAACTGATTCAATTCACCTGAGTTGGTCACACTACACCTGCATCATGGGCTCAGAACCACTTCCTGTCAGGATCTGGGCTTTATTTTGTTAGTTTGTTTATTTTGTGTTTAGTGATTTTTGTGTTCGTTTGTGTTACCTGTGTTTTCATTTCATCAGTTCTTTACATTTCCTTCCTGAAATAGCTCCTTGGTCTGTTTCTGGCCACGCCCACTCACACCTGCACCCAACGGTTTCCCATATTTTCATCCATAAAGGTCCTCTGCCGGCATTTATTTCACAGTTGAGCTTTAAAAAAATTCTCATGCCGAGTCCGGTTCTCCTCGTGTGTCAACTGGAGTTTGTAAGTTTTGTTCTGTTTTTATAATAATAAGCCTTTTATTGTCTCAGCGTTTTTAAAAAAACTGTCTCTCTGATGGTATAGGGGTGCATTAGGGCCTCTGGCATGGACAGCTTAAGAAAAAATTGTATTATTTCGACTGCATATAAAAAATTGGTTTGAGATATACAAAGCATCATTCTGTTTTGTGTTTAATCTTTACACAATGAACCAACAGTTTTTGGAACCGGGGTCGTCAAAGTAACTTGAATGTACAGAAAATTTTACAATATTTAAATTTAATGTTTTTATGTCTCGATTTGTTCATGACTTGTCTCCAGGTTGGTTTTTCACCTGAAACTCATAAAGTCGTCCCAGACTTTTTGGCTCCTGTCAGAAACTGATTTATTTGCAGATTTTCATTTTAAGAAATTAAATATTTTGAATTTGAACGGGAACAGGGCGAGGTCCTGCAACTCACGTGAGGAAATTTGGATCCACCACAAACATTATGAGACATTTTTTAGACTCCCTCATGGAGGTTGTTAGTTTGTCCACAAGTACAAGTTTTGAGGATGACTCTCAGCTACTTTAGCTCAGTTCGTTTCATCTGGTTGACTCCACTGATTTATGGCTTCAAGATGTTCTGACAGTTTCATTCAGATAAATGCAATCCAAAAGGAGCAGGAGCTTCATTTCCAGCTGCACAGAGTTTAATGCAAACACCAGAACCAGAACCAGAACCTGAAGTCCAGTCTGAGCAGCTGCTCCATTCAGAAATAAAAACATGTAAACTTTCTGCGGTGCGTTCAGGTGTCAGCAGTTTTCAGAGGGGCTGCTGGCGTGAAGCCTGCAAGGACACTTATTGTTAAAAGGTCATTATGAGCCTCATTTATCACTGAGCACACACGTGCATATGTGCGAGCGCACGCACGTGCACATACACGCAAACACAGTGCAAACAGAAAGGACAGGTGCTGTGAGCCGCAGGTCACGCTAAACACACGCCAGACTCTAAACAAACATTTACAGAAGAGAACTCTTTAGAGTCTCCTGGTTTACTGGGAACAATCCTTTTAACTGGATGTTACTGGAGTTCTGGTTGTGACCCAGTTTAGAATTAAGCTGCAACTTCTTCGGGTCATTGGAGCAGGTTTGACTGTTGACCTCCTGAACCAAAGTCCAAGAAAAGGTAAAAGAAAATGCCAACAAAAACTATTATTTTGTGACAATGTGTGTTGCTGAGTCAGCATTTACACAGTTGTCTTTTTTTCATTTATTACTTGTACTTTTTTTTTTTTTACAGATTAATTACCAGTACATCCGCGTGCTTTGTTTTATTTTAGCTGTTCGTGCATCAAAACATTCAGCTCATGCATGGGATGGCTGCTCTTTTGTAAAAACTTTTCAGAATATTTGACTCTAACAACAAAAGTTTCCTCCAAATACAAAGTACATTACGATCTCTTCATTTAAACATTGTTCCTTTTTAAATTTAATTTATCTACTGGCTCGGTGTTTGTCTTTTGCTCCTTTTAGCTACTTTTTAGCTAACCTTAGTCATCGCTTTGTTCATTTTTGCCTTTAGCCAAGTTTTTTGCAATTTTAGCTTTTTGCTATGTTTTGATGATTTGGGGTTTTAGCCACATTTTTACCAATGTGAGCTTTGAGCTTGTTTTAGCTGTTAGCTATCATTTTGCTCATTTTATCTTGCATTCTGCTCATTTCAGTTTGTATTCTGTTTGTTTTATCTTGTGTTTAACTCATTTAGGCTTTTCTTCTGCTAGCTTTAGCTGATTTTGCTTCTTGTGTTTTTCTCATTTCATCCTGTGTTCTGATATTTGGAAGGTTTCACAAAACTACGGACTGAAATGTTTCTAAAATGGCAACAACAACAACAACAACAACAAAATCAGACGTCTTAAAGGGAGAAAAACGCCACTTTACAAAAAAATGGGCAAAAAAATTATGTTAATTTAGAAAAACTGAATTGTGGCGTTTTGTCAAATCTAAAGCCCCTCAAGAAACTTAAATTTGAACAAATATTTTATTTTTATTTCTTCAGGCTTACATAGCTAAATAAAGATTGAGTAGTGATGAACAAATATAACATGTCACATCTTTTGTCAGGTTTGTACGGAACAAATATTGTCTTAAAGTTAAAGAAATCTTCACTTCTGATCCGTCCTCTTCCTCCCTCCTCCTCAGTTCTCCTCTCAGCTTCCTTTATCTCCTCTCTGCCCTCTTCTGTTCTCACTAAAGTAAAATGAGCCGAAATCAAGCTACAGATGTAATCTCACTTCACAAGCTTCGCAGCAGATTCGATCATTTACATTTCACCATCCCGTCCAGTCAAACTTCTGCACACTGCTGAAGCTGAAGGGAGGAAAAACCAACCCCTAAGACAACTGGAGAAACTGCATTTCCTGTGAAAATGCAGTGTGAATGCTGTGAAAGAAGTTGCTGAAAAACAGCTAAAATTAGCTTTAAAAACTGAATTGTAGCTGAAATGAAAGTACAAGCCTTAATTAGCAGAATAAAGCTAACAAAACACATCTTTGCTGAATTAGATAGCACAAAAATTAGGAAATTATCTAAAAAAAAAAGCTGAAATTAGCAACAACAACAAAAAAGGCTGAAAAAGGTAACTGAAAAGGCAGAAAGAAGTTTAAATTACCAGAAGGATGCAACTGAGCTTTAGCTGAGCTAAAACAAATATGTGGAATTAGCTGAAAAGGCAAAAATTAGCATAAAACAGCTAAATAGTAATTGAAATTGCAGAAAGGGCTGAAACTTGCAGAAAAAAGCTGAAAATAGCATAACAAGCTGAAATTGCCATAAAGAAGTTTGAAACTAGCAAAAACTACGATTAAAACTTGAATTAATCTAAAAACAGCTTAAATTAGCTAAAAAGGTAGCTGAAAAAGTAAAACAAGCTGAAATTAGTAAAAGAAAGCAAAAATAACATGTTTGCCCAATTAGGCTGAAAGAAGCAAAAATGAGCACAAAAAACAGAAATTATCTGAAAAAAGATGAAATTAGCAACAACAACAAAAAAAAATCCGAAAAGCATCTAATAAAATCAGAAAGAGCTGAAATTACAGAAGGATATGGCAAGAGTACAATTTTGCTGAATTAGGCTGAAAAAGTTGAAATGAGTGCAAAAAATGTGTATTTAGCTGAAAAATCTAAAATTAGCATAAAACTGATTAAAAAAAAACAGTAGTAGCAGAAAAAGCTGAATGTTGCAGAAATAAGCTGAAAGGAGCATAACAAGCTGAAATTAGCAGAAATAAGTTAAAAGAAGTGCAAAAATGTTTTAGTTAGCAGAAAGATTCTGAAAGGAGCACAAAACAGCTGAAAAAACAGCTGAAATTAGCTGAAAGTAGCTGAAAAACAGTTTCAGTTTGCAACAGAAAGCTGAAAGAAGAGGAATCAGAACAAAATATGAAAGGAGCAGTAAAAGGTTGTAAACAGAGCTAAAGATTTGAAGGAGGTAAAATGAGCTCAATTCATTTTCTATGAGAAAATATGGCAGAAAAGGCTAAACATTTCAAAAAGCTAAAGTTGTACCAATACCAAACATCATAGCAGGATTGTCCTGAAAGAG